GAAGAGGGCATGAAATATAAATGTGGAAATAGTCATCACTTCAAACTGGCATACTGAGTCAATTGAATAACGTTCTGCTTATTAAGGAAATTCCATTTAATATTCTAATACGGCTTACCATAGTGTTTGAGGAATGGCTCAAATTCATTCTGGTAGACTTCTCTCTTTAGCTCGTGCACAAACAGCTGGCCCACAGGAGCGTGCGTTATGATGTCTGCTCTGGCCACCAGCAAGCAGCCTATACACACTGAGGAGAGAGAAATGCTGTTTCATGTACATCCATTCATCTGACAGGATCTTTCAGAGTGAGGCAGAATCTTATACAAGCACGGGATGGTAGATGGAAGGCAACAAAGGCTCCCTGGCAGTCCTGGTAACTACACTCTCAGCTTTCTGGTCACCAGCACTGAACTGAGTTACCCCTATCTTCTGTGCTTCCACTGCCTTCAGTTTAACACACAGTTTAATACTTTACACAAACATCATGTGGAAAATTAAAGGAAATACATAAGTCTTGACTTTCATGGAACGTGCCTCAATAAAGTCACAGTAATTATTACATACATGTATATATGGTGTTTTTTCCCCCACATACACAGGTGTACACATAGAATAGGACACAGTAATATGGGTTTAGTACAGCTATATAGGTCAGGCACTGACGTCATGATAAAGCTCATTCAGGAGGTTTTCACTGGTCAGTCAAAAGCTCGTCTATGTATTGCATGGGCTCATGAATATGGCTAAATCAAATATTTTGTCATAAGCAAAGTCATATGGCACAACAAAAGAAAAGTCCAAATACTTGCCTGAGAATGTTAAAACCCAGTTCCCTCTGTCTGCCATCTTGTTTTGAAATTTGACTGACAAGACCAGCTGGAAAAGACAGTGGCATCCCCATTGAGGTTAAAAGCAAGGCTATTTTTGGTTCAGCCATAAAGCCATACCAGTGTCTCTATCTGTGTGTGTGTGTGTGTGTGTGTGTGTGTGTGTGTGTGTGTGTTTGTGGAATGGAAACCACATCATTCTGTGTTGCTTGGTAGACAGATACACTGCCTGAAATGGACGTGTATCAAGGCCAAGGTTTGCTTTAGGTGTATGCTTAACTTAATAAAACCACTTGAAATTAAAGTCAACTCAGTTAACATCAGTTAAAAAAAAAAAACCTTACAGGATCACTCAGTTGCCATTGAGCTACAGTCAGGGGTGTCACAGAGGAAGGGGTATCCCAGCGTCCCTGGGATACGCTCTGGATCCACCCCAACCTTGACCAGCATAAAAAGCTTACTGAAGAAGAATTAATGAATGAATGATGTAATTTTCAGTGGAGGCTCATCCATTGGGGCAGGGTGGGCATCACATAACGTATATCAGCCATTCAGCAAATGTCAATATTCATAAAGTTCTCATTCACAACTCCATACATTTTAAATTCCGTTGAAATACTACTAATGATCTCTTTTGAGTGACCAACGATTTTAACAAAATGTTGCTATTTGATATCAGTGCCACATTTAGCTCCATAGAGTTATTATTGCACAAAGTGGTCACATATGTGAACTACAACAAGCACTAAAAGAGGCCTGTTGGGGTAGGAATCATACTGCCCCATGCTCAAGAGAGGAGCAGAGGATGAGGCAGGTCTGGGGTTGCCAGATTGGCTAGTTTAAAGTTACCCCCGGCCATCAATTGTATTATATAGCAAATAATTGGAATCAAATCTAATAAGGTTCAGAAAGTGCGTCTATGATGTAAAGAACCAGTCTACTGTAAGAAATATTTCAAAGATTGGGAGAAGAGAAGGGCGTTTATGGAGTGGATATTGTCCGTATATCAGAAATGTGTGTCAATTCTATTAGAGTATGGCGGCAGATCTCAAAGTACATGGGGAGAGGAGAATTTAGGCCTATGTTGAGCCCAGTTTATTTGAATGAAGATTTTCCCCCTGGTATTGGTTCGCCACGCTTCAAAGCATGGCACATAAAGGGGAGGTGGGGGACCGTTGTTCCAGGACGGTTTCCTAATGTCCTTTCAGCAATTACGACAGAGGTTTGATCTCCCTGAGGAACATTACATTGGCTATATACAAATTCAGCATTATATCATTTCAAAGCGGAGATCTCCATCGGATATGCCTCTACTCGGCGACTTAGAGGGTTTGTTTATCAATACATGTAATGCTGCTCATTTTATATCTAGGTTTTATTCTTATTTATACTCCCATATCCCAGGGCTTTTGAATACGGTAGCTTGCAAATGGGAGGAAAATGTGGGTAAAGAATATATAGATGATGACTGGCAAGGGCCGCTGAATGTGTGAGGTCCACTTTTATATGTATCCAACTTAGAGAGACTCAATACAAGATACTACACAGTTACGAGTTACATATAGCTCCAGTTATAATGAATAAAATCGATCGTAGGATATCGGCTGTCTGCGTCAAATGCCATGCAGGCTTAGGAACTTACTTTCACTGTTTCTGGAAGTGCAAAAACATCTCCAGGTTTTTGGAGATTTACTGCTTGTGACATTCTTCAGGTAAAGCTGAAAAAGGAGCCTGGTCTCTTTCTTCTGGGCCTTCCTTCCAAAAAGCAAGCGGTAACACTGACGCTGGATTCTTCAGGTTACAAACTGTTTGATAAATTACTGCTTGTGACAAGGAAATATTCTTAATAAATGGATAAAAGAGACTCCCCCCTCTTTTTTGCGTTGCTTCCTCCTGAGAGAATAGACACTGTGCTTAGGGGTAATGTTCAGTGCTTTCAGATGTTATGGTCTCCTTTTAGAAACATGCTGGTAGGTGGGTGAGTGAGTGTGTGAAGGTGTGTGTGCACAGTTCCCTGTGGTGGACTAACCTCCCATCCAGGGTGTATTTCTGCCTTGGGTCTAGTGTTGACAGGATAGGCTCCAGATCCACTGTGACCCTGACCAGGATAAAGTTCTTACTAGGCATGAATGAATGAATGAATGAATATACAGTATTCTTTTTCTATATAAGATATTTGAATCGCCTGTTTAGGTTATTAGTTTCCTCTGCGTAGACTGATTTGGTCCTATTTGAATGAATATGACCAAAAAATTTTTTATACTGAATTGTTTTACAGTACTCATTACAGCTTATGATAATTGGTGTGAATTATATCGCTGTAATTGTCACTATACTGTATTTTACTGTAAAGTATAAAATGCATAGTGTAGGGTCCCTGGAGGACTAGTGGTTAGGCCACAGCGCTCTCAAAGCTGCGGCCCAGGTTTGATTCCCAGCCATGAAACCAACCCCAGCTACTGGGGGTGCGTGCAACAGCGCGCTCTCAGAGTCGGTCCCAAGCTTGGATAAAATTGGGGAGGGTTGCATCAGGAAAGGCATCTGGTGTAAAAACTGAGCCAGATCAAATACGCAGACCAATGATCCGCTGTGGCGACCCCTAACAGGAGCAGCTGAAAGAGGAACAACAACATACAAGGCATAGCGGCACATCGACTTCTGGTCTGACACTGCCCCCTGCCGGACCCACGTGTAATTTCAGCGGTGTATTCGTAGTGTTTCCTGCGGTGTTGGCAGAGGTAAACAAACACAAACATGGGAGATATGGGGTTTTATACATAGCAGTAAAGTCAAAGCAGCACCCATCGAAGAGTTACTTTCAGGTGCTTCATTCAATTTACTTAGATTGTAATATTACTAAATATGACACTAAATATGAGGCTTTTACCTGCATTTAAGCTCACCTGTTGCTGAAGACGTTTGTTGTTATTTTTTCCCCATTCAGCATAAAAGCACAAAAATCTTGGCAAGTGTTCATCAGTTTTCCCTTATTTACCTTTTCATTATTTCAGTTTGGAGC